AAGAAAACGAAAAAAATAAGGAAAATAAGAAGCCATTGGCCAAATGCGCAACCGGCGCGGCGCGGCACAGCTGCAGAGCCGCAGTGCTGCCTGCGGGGCACGGGGGACGGTGGCTGCGGATGGAGTTTTGAGGCGGCGGGCGGGGAGCAACCGCAAATTGTGTACGCTACGTACTTCTGCTACGTGGGGCACGCAGCAAAACAATGCCACACAGTGGCAATAAGGGGCCAAAAGCAGCCGGAAAGAATTGCTCAGTAATTTAATTTAAGCATACGGATGGCTCTCCACTCAGCCCCCTGCCCCACCTCCTCGCTGTAAGTAGCAGGCGTCAGTTAGTGGTGCGTGCTCCATAAGCCCAAATGTCAATATTTGCCTATGCCACGCATTAAGCGTGCCAAACCATGTGACTCAAATGTGTGTAAGTGTGGTATATGTGTGTGTGTCGTTTTGGGGTGTGCTGAGCGGACATTTAAAATATGTTGTCTTGCCGCCAGTTGTTTGCCAGGACACTTCGCCCACACACACACACACACACACACACACACACACACTCAGACAGAGCTGCAGCATATCTATAGCCCGAACCGCCGGCATGAGCGGAAATTAGCAAACGATTTAAGCCGTGGAGGGGGGGCGCATATGGGGCGAGGCAACGCGGCGTATGCGTGTTATTTGATTTTGCTGCGGGTACGCTTACAGTTTTTCTCCTTTCACATATTCCTTAACAATTTCCTGTTATAAACAAATCAAGGATGTAATAACGCAGCCCAATGCGCGCACTCCCTGCCAGAGGCTGGGGCCGATTGAAAAATAAATGCCGTTGATTATGATCTTAAGAGCTGCCACAGTCGGTAATGGCCGCAGAAATTGCTGCATAGTGTACTTTGCGCTAGACACAATTGCGAGGCAAAGCCCATTAGTTAACAGCTTACTGCGTTCTCTTTTGCCCGGAAAGGCTTTGCTCTGAAAAATGTAGCAAAAATATTTAGAATAACAACAAGAACTAGGCAAAAACAAAAACCAAAAGGAAAGAGAAAGAGCAAAATAGAAAAAGGCTATCCACACAGACCAACGCAAGCTGGGACGCAGTTTGATGGCATGTAAAAGTTCAGTGGCACTAACAACAAGGACACGGACAGACTTAAAGAAAAGCCAGTCAAGTGTATGAAATGTAACAAAGACCTTAACCAAAATTGCAAGCACACACACGCACACACTCATACAGTTACCCACTCGACTGCCACTCACACGTACTGGGAAAAATAATGAGAAAATATCAAAAGTGGGCCCACTTTTGATATTTTGTGCTAAGGCCCTCGGGCTCGGTCCCAGCTGAATGTCAACTTAAAGCTCTTGCGGCTGCCTTGGTTGGCCAACAGGCCCTGGCCAAGTCGGCCCACTCCGGCCGTCCTTTCTTTTATTTTTTAAAGTATCCGAGCTGGCTGAAACCGACGCTAATGAGCTACTTAGGCAATGACTTAGGTCATTATTGTGTGCGTGAGTGTGTGTGCTTCTCTGTGTGTGTATGTGTGTGTGCTTGTATATTGTCATATTACACATACGCAGCGTTGTTTTGGCCACACATTGTGGTGAATGTAAAGCCGACGACAACTGTTGTCAGACATGTTCCAGTCTCAGCTCTCGCTCTTGTGGGGGAGTCGAGGGGGCTGCGAAGCAAACTTTAAGGCGAGCTGCCATGGCTGCGCTCGGCTGAGCGCTTTGTACGGTGCCTTTTGTCATCGTGGCGCCGCCCTATCCAAAATATGCCATATTGTATTCGATTAATATTTCAATAAAGCGTTTGTGCCTGGGCTGTGCCCTTAACGGATTACAATAATCAGAGTCCTTTTGTGCCGCTCGCCACAATGGGCAGCGGCCATCAAGTGGAAAATGAGCTGCTTAAGAGCACTCGCAGAGTGCACCACATGATGTGCTCGAACGCAATTTTTCGGCCTTTGAGTTTGCCGAGTTTTCCCGCAGCTAAATTGAAATCATTAGCCAGGCGATGAACAATGGCTGCTGATTTACAGCGCCGCAAACGCCGCGGGCTTCATTAGACAGCGACGAACCAAAAATTACACAACAGATCAGAGAGCAGACACACACACACACACACACACACACACACACACACACACACACACGAGCTGAGTGAAATAAATGTGCGTAATTGCCAACACCTCATTAGGCAAAAACTTGGCTTTAATCAGGCAGCCGCAGTCGCCCCAAACGTGCGAGTGAAAACTTTCAACAGTTGCCCCAGCAGCTCGGTGGCAATTAAACGCGTCCATCGCAATGTTTACTCAACGCCAACACGACAAAAGCAACGAAATTCGAGCGATTCGCCTGGGGTAGGGGCCGAGCCGAGCCGAGCCGAGCTGATGAGCTGAGTTGACAGTGAAAACCATCGACATAATTCTGGAAAATGTGATTTTATTAATTAAATGCGACAGGCGAGTGTCAAATCAGCGACAGGGCGTGGCCTACGACAAGCGGCCTCCTGCTCCACCACCCAGCCGCCTCCTGCGCGCTGCGGCGGTTCAATGTGCTGCTTACGTCTCTGCCGCCGCCGCCGCCGCCGCCGCCGCCTACTGCGCACAACAATTTTAGACATGTCAACATGGTGTCATAATTATAATATTTAGCCCGACAATGTGTGAGTGGGAGTGGGCTAGTGAGCGTGTGCGTGTGTGTGTGCGTGTGTGTTGCTTGTGCGCTGTTCGAATCGCTTGCCTTAAATACGCGAGACCCAAAAGCCACGCCTACAAGGCGTAGCCTCTGTCGACGCTATTGTTTGGCTTTGGCGCTGGGCGGCATTTTTAATGATGGCTGGGACTATGGCTGCGTAGGGGAGAGGAGGGTTCTGGGTAGCGGTGCTGTGGGACCGGCCCTATGCCCACGATTGGAAATTGTATTCTGTTGTCGGTGGCTCGCTGCGGGTGGCTGGTTAACTGATTGGTTTTGCGGTTGGCTTTAAGCCGCCTTTTAAAAGCCATTTATTAGGGACTGCAACGACAATGCCACTAATTGCTTATGCCCTCTACAGTCCGAAATGGGCAGAGCTGTGATGAACGAGCAGCCATCGATAAGGTCAGAGCAGACACGCCCAAAGCTAGGCAAATGTTATCGAGCTTAAAGAGTTCTGTTTTTTGGTAGAGATCTGAAATTTCTATACCCTACACACAATAAGCAGGTCACATATATTTCTCTTACATCTAAGTTAATTTAAATCTTCCACAATATGCAAGATGACATTTATTGGGCGAACTTTTGTCTAAAAAAATATATTTATTTATGTAATGTCTTATGTAATTTATTTAATATCATCTGCAAATCCCAATGGAACTATGCAAATGTAGCAAAAATAACTACACATATGCATATATAAGATTTTCTATTTATATTTGCACATTTATAGCTCTCCTTAGAGCTAGATAAGGTCAGAGTCATCTAAATAAACTGAAAATATTATTATCATTAATTATTGCCAGCAATTTGTTTATGTATTTTTGCGCTTTGAAGTGGGTCACTTTATTTGCAAATATCTATTTATCTCAATTTATGCTACTTTCCTCTTTATTTCTGGGTTTTTGTTCGTAGCACTAGTTATTCCCTCTGCTGGGAGTCTTTAATTTAAAGCACTTTCTGTAGCAAAAAGAGAATGGAAGGTGGACAAAAAACAGGGGAGAGCAACGTTGGCCAAGTGACCTAGCGGCGGCCAGCAGTTGGCTGCACGTTATCCTGGCCACTTAGTCTTGATTAATGTGTCGCATTTGCCTGCGGAGCCTGCGGACCTAGCGGAGCTAGCGGAGCCTCAGGCTCGTGCACCCGTAAATAACAAAGCCACTCGCTCTCCACTGACCGATGTCTGACGTCCTCCACTCAAATGAGCTAGTTTTTTTTTGCTTATTGCTTCAAGGTTATTTGAAAATGCCAAAGTTATATGCTGTTGTCCTTGTTGTTGTTGTTGTTGTTGTTGTCGATTAAAGTTTTCAGTTTATTACGATTTGCACCACTTTAACGCTGTTGCAACAGGATGTGGCTTTATTTATTATGTATGCAATAAATATTTATAGCTCATCTTGATATATGTGCAGTGTGTGTGCGTGTGTGTGTGCATATATTGAAAGAGCTCGCTTTAAGCACCTGTCGCTCTATCTGCTTCAATTCAAATTTGCTATAGATTTGAAAATTGAATATTTTGCTGCTGCTGCTGCTGCTGCTTGTCTGCATGCTGATCGCCTGTCAGAGTCGCCGTCAGTCAATCACTCGCTGGCACATTGATTGAATGCTGGGCTGGGCGAGGAGTGGGTGGCCGCTTGACCCGCCACGTCTCGCTTGGGGGCGCACACACAAGTTGAGCGGACTTGTGGCGAAATTTCAAGCGATTTCCAAAAACTGAGCAACGACAATTTGAGCTTGGGCGAGTTTCGCCTGCAGGCTGAAAGGAATCTCTCTAGTGAATTTTCCAGATAGTCTGGCTACAAAAAGGACGCAGCACATTCATAATGTGTGTGTGTGTGTGTGTGTGTGGCTAGAGAAATGTAAATGTTTGCAACGACGGCGACAACGGCAGCGATAGGGACCCGCATTATAAAACGCGTATCTCGATGGGTTACTGCTTAGTTTTGGAGCACTCCCTTCGGTGGGGATAGAGCCACAGAAAGAGAGAGAGAAAGAGAGAGAGAGAGAGAGAGATAGATAGAGAGAGAGCGAGAGATACAGTGAAACTCATATGCATAAATATTTTTGTGAATTTAGTCGCGTCCAATAACAATAAGAATGCGCATCAAAACGAGCCGTAAATTGTGGCAAACTCTAAGGCGATAAATTTGAATGGGGGCTTACGGTATCGGTGTGCTTGTGTGTCTGTGTGAGTGTAGATTTAGCATGAACACTGTTGATTGTTTGCAAATACGCAAATTGTTGTCCAGCTTGCCGTCAATTGGCGACAATTGGCCTCAATTTCGCAATTGACAAGTGCAATTTGGAGCACTTACCTCACACTTGGGCAGCGGCCCCTCGGGCATCTTGACCTTCCAGCCGAGCAGCGGGGGAATGCATATCAGCGCCGACATTATCCACACCGCGGTGATCATGACGGCGGCGCGGGCGGGCGTGCGCGACTTGAGATAGTCAACGGCCTTGGTGATGCTCCAGTAGCGATCGAGCGAGATGAGGCACAGATTCATGATCGAAGCTGTGCAGAGGAGGACGTCCATGGCCGAGTGTATGTCACACCACCAGCTGCCGAAGATCCAGTAGCCCATCAGCTCGTTGGCCAGCGAGAAGGGCATTATGATGAGGCCCAGAAAGAAGTCGGCCACGGCCAGCGAGGCAATGAACCAGTTCTGTATGTTCTTCAGCGACTTTTCGGTGGCTATTGCAATGATCACCAGCATGTTGCCCACCACAATGATGATCATCAGTATGGTCACAATGATCGAGGCGATCACAATGTGCGTCAGCGTATAGCCGCTCGGATACCGGCCATCCCAGTGCACCTCCGTGCCGTTGCTGCTGTTGGCCAGCAGGCCCATGCTCATATTGGCCGTCGTCTGATTGTAGTAGCTGCCCGCCAGCTGGAGGCTGTTGTTGTAGAGGCTGCCATTCAGCAGATAGATGGTATCGTTCACTGGCGGCTGCATCTCCAGCAGATTCGGCAGCTGCACCTGCCCATCGACTGTCACCAGCGGCGGATTGAGTGCGGCCGCCGGATTGCCATGGGCCAGTGATGATGATGCTGCTCCGGCTCCGGCTGCGGCTGCGGCTGCGGCTGTGGCAGCTGTTGTTGTTATTGTGGCAGCGCTCGAGAATACGGCCAGGAAGTCATCATTGCTGATGTTGCCCGTATTGATGCTGGCCTCCACTTTGGCGTAGTCCATGTTGCTTCGCTTATTGTTGCGCTTGTCAGGTGTATTTATCTATCTATCTCTGTCTAGCGTCGGATTGGTCCCATGCTGGCGCTGTCCACTTCACTTGGCTAGGCATATGCGTATATATGAATTTATATTTTGTTTGTATTTATAAATAAATATATATATGCATATATTTATATGTAGGTGTGTGTGTGTATTTATAATTAAATTTGAAAATGCGGCCGGCAATCTAGCATTCGCTTGCGTGCGTTTCAATTACGTTCGGAATTCAGTTCCAACACCCCATTAAATCTATTAATTTATCTAATGCCTAGCATAGTTTTGCGATTTGCAATTATTCGATTATGTTTTTACCCGTTTTGCACCGAAACTTGTGTATGTGCGAAGCGTTTTGAAGTCGCGTGAGCGTAAAACGCGCGCGGCTTTCATATAACTATTAATTATTAATATTATTATTTATTTGAATAATACATTCATATACAATATCTTCTTTGTTTGTTTTAGTTATTGTTGTTGCTGGATAAACACACACACATAGACCGACACACATGAAGAAATACAGATAGAGTGTGAGTGAGAGAGATAGAGCAAGTGAGAAAGAGAGTGAGCGAGAGTGAGCGAGAGTGAACTACACACACACACACACACGCAGATTAAACGTATACTATGGATTAAGACTGACTATATACAACAGGGACCCGCCACCGGGGCACCACTTGAACCCCACTCTCGATATCTCGATCTCGATGCCATGGATGTGCCCGATCTGCATTCACATTGCGCCTTCGCCGCACTTCCGTCCGTTCGCTTTTTTCGTATACGTATTCGATTTGCACTCGATCAACAGTTTGTAATCCGCTCAGATAAATAGCTCACTTATTTACAATGGATTTGTGGACAGTTTTCTTTTGGGGACTCGCGCGCCTCACAAGCCACACTCAGTCGGGCGTGGGCATTTCTCGACACGATTTGGCGCTTTTTCTTTGGCTAAGTGTCAGTGAGTCTTGGCTGTTTACTTTGGCTGTTTGGCTACTGGGCCGGCTGACGCGCCCGCAACACGTTCGCACCGCTGGAAATGCACATCTTAACTGAATGCCCCAACATTTGCTACCAAAGTTGTCTTTCGCATACGCAGCCTCAGCGGCTGGCTTCGGCTCTCGCCTCGGCGGCGATTCGTGTGGCTTGCCGCTTCGTTCGGCACATGCCGTTGCCGCTGCGCTGGGGAAATTCGCTCACGGGGAAATTGTCTCTTTGGCGCGATTTGTGTTCCACATTCCACTCGTTTCAGTTGCGTTTTGTTTTGGTCAAAGTGTGCGTGTGTGTGTGTGTGAGGGAGTGTGTGGGTGTGTGAGTGTGGGGCGTGAGTGCGCCATATACCTAAATCCAAGACCCAAAACCTATACCCAAAAACACTTCCCGAACCCATTTGTTGCAGCACTTTTCACGTTTTTCATTTCACTGCTGCACCCTCAGCCCCAAAGGGCGTGTGTGTATGTGTGTGTGGTTGTGTGAGTGTGGGCATGTTTGCTACAAATGTTGGCCATGCGAACGAGGCCCATGTGTGCGATGCGGCCCTTTGTTTACATTTTTTATTCCAACCCACATAGCTGGCTTTGTTTTCACGCCAAATGCTGGCAGGCTCACCTTTTAAATACTTCTCACGATTTGCGGCCTGTTAAAGTTGCGTCTCAACTCTGCCAATAAAGGCCCAAGAATGAAGCCATCAAAAGGCGTGCGGGCCACATACAATACATATATACAAACATATATATGTATATGTGAATATATTTATATATATACATATATACAAACATATATATGTATATGTGAATATATTTATATATATATATATATATATATATATATATATATATATATATATATATATGTGTATGTATTCTTCTGAATGCCAGCACATTACGCACATTATGCGCTATAGTCACGTAGATGGGGCACATAATTGAAAAGCCAACTTGTGCGTATCAATCGTGCAGCCAAACAGGTTGTTCTGATATCTGTTGTTGTTATCATCGATGTTGTTGTTGTTGTTGGTGTGGTTGCTGCTTCAGCAGCTTCGCAATGAAATCAGCTAGAAATTATTATGATAATGAAGAGTTGAGCGCACACTTCGTTCACCTGGCAGTTTTTGATGAGCCAAGTATGCATTTATGTATACGCTGCGTATGAGTTATTCGAGTTATTTGATTATGTTAAGCATACGCCGTGTTGCTGCCGCGCATAATTTCAAATTACACGCAGCAGAGCGGCATCAACATAATAAATCTGAAAAGGGCCGACATTTGACAAACAAGCAGCGAGCGAGCTGCTACGACATCAACTTATTTGCCGTGACGGCCACACACACACGCACACACATGCACACATACACTGGCATATGCCGGAAAGACTAAGCAGCAGAAAGAGCAGCAACTCAGGGCTCAGTGCCTAACAGAAGATTGCTTGTCAAGCGCTGATTATATTAACCGCCTAGGCAGACAGACACACACACACACACACAGCGATACATGGCACTATAAGCAGCCGCAGTGTCGGGCAGAATCAAATTGCGCATACGCCGCATAAGCCGATGGGCTGTAGTCAGTCGGACGGCATGGATAATGCGCAAATCTCTCAAATGCGCATGCATTAAGTTATGCACATATACATTTATGAAATTGTGTGTCTGTGTGTCTGTGTGTGTGTGTGTGCGTGCGTGCGTTTGCATGCCTCATTGCGACTGCAGCACGCACAGAGCAGCCGCTAATGACAACTTCGTCTTTCCGTCTGCATTTATGTGGCCGTTGCTCAACAGCTAAATCTAATTTTTATTCGCCGCACGTTTTGCATAATGAAATCGGATTTGTGGACCCACATAAACTGCAGCTAAAAATGGGGGCGTGGCAGAATTTGCGCGCACTCTCTAAAAATGTTTTACGGCCACCAGAAATATGCTAAAAATAAAAGAGTATTATAGCACTGTAGAAGTATATTAGTTGAAGCCAAAGAAAAGAAACCATGTCAACAGATTTTCGATAATGGGATAGACGTGGGTTGTACAGAGAGCTGCTAGGCCTAAGAAGCTCTTAGAGAAAAGATTTTTGCATTGGCTGATATACATATTTATATATGTTTAAATGAAACCCAAATTGGTTTAGTTAAAATAATAAAATAAAAAAAAAAAATAAATAAACTTCAATACAAATGAAATAATATTTAAATTAACTAAACAGATCTTAGCTGTTCATAGGGTATTTGCTAGCTCTAGGAAACTCTTACGTCTGGCGCATTCCTTTGCGCTGTTCGCCGCTTCAGTTTTTCGAAACTTTTCCAGACCTAAGCGTTTTGTCACTATACGACTGGGAACAGCAGCGAGCGCTGCTGCCAATTGGCCAGAGCCGTGCGTTATGGACCATTGGAATGGGTCGAGCAAGGCAAAAAAAAAAAAGAAAATGGGGAAAAACATTTTCAGTGCGCGAGAGTTCGGTTGAAAAATGCGCAAATGCAACTCGCTAATGGCTGCGAATATTTTATGTGCGCTTATCAGTCGCATTAGCTGGAAAACTGTTGCTAAAAGCTTGCCATATCCTATGGGAGTGCTGCGCGCGGCTATGCCATGACGTGGGGCTGGTTCCGGAAATTACGTTACTCATACGCACTGTGGCGCAGCTCGATGCATTATCTTAATTTAAAAGCGCGTTCCAGCCAGAGCTACAGGGCATTGGACAAGCTGGCTGGCAGCTCATGTACCAACCAGGTTTTAGTTTCATTAACTTGGCTGAAAACTCATTTATCAACCTGTCAGCCGCAATTATTTATGCCCGCCTCCACCTTAGGCAACGCGCAGTGCGTTTTATGTGCACGTGCATCGTGGCAAATTATAGAAAATTACCCGCAATGGCAAAAGCATCTCAATCTGTCCTCCGTCTGAATTGCAAATGCTTTAACTGAAATTACAATCGATAGAACTTAAATGCGCAGCTAAATCGAATAAATGGCCAAGCACTTGGAAGTCGCCAACCTTTCCATTAAGCATTGAAAGTGTTAATCGGCTGATATGACCCCTGATTCGAGCTGATTCTGTTTTCCGGCCTGCCGGCGCCCCATTAGGCTGCCAATCAGCCCGAGGCAGCGACGGCAACGCCGGCAGCACGTGCGCTCAATTGACAATTGAGGACCTCCGCTGAGTGGCCGAGGGCAGTTGGGGCACGTTGGGGCGCACTGGGCCAAATGGGAGCACGAACGGGTTGGCTCTTCCGTCCGGCCAACACGGCCTCCATGTGCATGTCACAAGCGCCTCAAAGCACAAAACATAACCATATTTACTGCTTGGTCGAGCACAGCGGCAAACACTTCAGCCAACAGCTGCAAGCTCGGACAAGGAAACTTGCCACATGCAACCAACTAATTTAAAAAATAATAATAATGATAATAATAATATTTAAAAATAAAAATTTAATAAAATCCACTTATAATTATCAATGAAAAGGAGACAGTTATAAATACTATAAGATCATTAAATATAAAATATTAAAATATAAAGAATTTAATAGCTGATAATATATAATACAATATATCATAATTAATAAAAAAAAAAAGAAATGTTATTATTATAAAATATAATATTATTATTAAAATAAAATATAATAGAAAAAAATTATAATAATATGCCGAAATATTAAATTCTAAATTTATATTATTTTCTTTTGAAGCAGATGAGCTAAAGTTAATTCACCTATCAAAATAGTTATCGAAAAATTCGGTTTTAATTGGTTCAAGGTATAAAATTCAGGGTAAAATATGAACAAACAACTAGAAGAAAGCTAAAAAAGTAAAGAGAGAAAATTACAAGAGAGGAACGAAATCAGAAAATATATGATAGGCGAATTGTGGATCTGAGTACTGCGAGTGACCTCCCTAAGATGAGCTGAAAGCAAATATTTTATTAACAGAAGAAGAAAGAAGAATTAACTTAACAAAAGAACTTCTGAGTACAAAGTAAGTACAAAGAAGTAGAAGTAGAGCCAATCAAATCTATGTATACTATTATATATGTTTGTATATGGAGTAAATTAATCTTTATCACGAATTCAATTTGATTCGATTGAATACATATAATAATAATTATTATTTTTTTCTTCGAAGGACTCCAAATTATATATACCATAAACCAATTGAAAGTGGTAAAGTGATTAACTAATATTATATTATGATTCTCTATTGCTTACTGTAGATCTAAATTTGGCCTACTAAAATGTCTAGTTTTATTCTTTAACCTTCGTCGCTGAGACTTGAACAGTTTCCATGTCGTTAAGCGCTGGCTGCGAAGTGTGCAATTGTCAGTTGTCATAAAATTTATGCGCTTAATTACTGGCCGGCTGTGACGGTCTGGCAGTCTGACGATGCGGCGGTGCGGCGGCATCATTTATTATTTTTATTTACGCAAGAACAAGCGTTTTATTGACACCGGCTACACGACGAGCGGCGGTGTGGTGCGATAGTCAATAAGGCAGCGGTAAGTCAAAGGACTTGGCCAAAAAGCGCCATTAATCTTAGGGCCAAGTTGTGCAGCTAATTGCGCCGCACTCGGCTGTCTGGAACGGCACAAGGTCGTTTGCCTCCAGGCAGGACGAGAAGAAAAATCATGCTGGCCGTTTACCTCATATCTGTGGCCCAAACCGTTCTTGGCCCTCTGCACAAGCACAAAAGGCCGCTTCTAAACATTAATGCGTTAACTGCTCCGCGAATTTAATGCGCACAGGACCGGACGAGGTGAACAGCAACATGGCCAGGTTAAATTTATTCAGGCAATCAGAAAAACGCTGAAAGTTGCCTACATATTACATTTACAAAAATTTTAATTAGCCGCGCCGACAACACAACAAAGCACAACAAAGTCAAAGCGGGCGAACAAAAGCGACGCGGCACAAAAAGCGTCGAGAGCGCCGCGTGCTGTAAGCTTTGGCCTGTGGGCTCGTCAGCCACGCAGGCTGAGATGTGACAGGGCACAGCGCGGCGTGTCCAGTGCAGTCCAGGGCACCAAACATCAAAACTTGCTGCTCCAAAATGCAGCTGGCCGCAGCGCTA